AATGTACGCCCCACATACTCCGAGGCTGCTTGACAGCTTCCCGTTTCGAATGTACGAGAGCAGATTTGACAATCGTGATAATCTATCGTAGTTGGAAACCATCGTTGGTAGCAATCGTCACACCATCTCGTCTCGAGGCAAGTCGAGTTGTCGACGTGGCCTCTGATGACAGAATCATATTGATGAGCATACGTCACCTGTTCGGAGATTGCGGGGATAAACTTCATCATTGGATCTCAATGTCCTCGGAGCCGAAAATGCGTAGCTTCGCTTTTGACCACGACAACACCCTCCTCCCTTACTATCTTGGCTCCTATATTTGCGTTTTGAAGGTACTTTCGTAGGCGGCGGCGGCTTTAGATCTCTATGTTGGATATTTGGTAGCTCTTATCAGAGCTTGAAGGTACGATGCTCTCGTCTGCTCCTATATCCGTCCTCATCTTTTGAGTACTTTTCGGCTTGGAAGCTCTCTACTCAATCTACATCTGGCAACGACCACGCACGCTTGGACCCACTGTTCCTCCTACAACCTCTCAGTATTGCTCGAGCCGCTGTAGCTGACCAGCGTTGTTAACCTCCGAAAGACCTACGACTATCCAAGCCCTTTAAGTTAATCAGGACCCAAGCAGCAACAACCCTCTGCGGACGTTCTATCCTCACTATGACCTTGAAGTGCCAATTCGTCAATCATCAGCTACCCTTCATTTGTCGTATAAACCAACACGCTCAGTCCCTTCCCACGCAAACATATGCTCGGTTTTCGTCACGTAGTCTATTGTTGTGACTCCCTTTCCCAGAGCTATCACGACAGAACGAGTAGATGTGTTTTTTGAACACGTTACCGTGTGATTGGCGTTGGTGACTAGCAGGAAGGAGGATTGCTAGCGCAAGAGGGTGACAAGAGTATGGGGGTAAAGAAGAGAAGGTGGAGTGTGTTAGTGTTGAAGAAGAGTAGGCCGGATATTTCGAGGACAATTTGGGGTGGTCGTAAGTGGTATTTGGATGTTTATATGAAGGTACTTCTCTTTTATTCCCGACTCTCCTCCCCCTCTCCTTTCCCCTTCCCCCCTACTCACCCTCATCGTTTTCCAGCTCCAAGCTATCACAGATCTGGCGACGGCGCCGCCATGGACAAGGACGAATGCATCTGGGTCATAGATCGCGTGGACGAACGTCTCAGGCCATCGGATGTCACCGGCTAGAATTGAGCGCGTCGACTATACATAAGGGTGTTGCAGAGACAACTGTGATTGGGGCGAATGATGAGAGTTGACATATATCTGTCTCTGAATGCTGACCGATCTGGGAATCTCAGTCTGCACGACGCTAAAGTCGACAATCGGAGAATGCAAAAACCAAGCTGGCTGAGCATCGAGTGACCTCTGAAACACAATGTGTCACCGCTTCCGCCACCAGCACCACTATGTGAATATATATATCATCATTAGGAGGGAGGACTAACCATCGCAGCTGTCCCAAACGGTCTTAGGTGAGTGCCTCCTATGTACGAATTATAATCTTTCAATCGCGGTTTATCCGCACAGATAACTTGGAAATTTTAGTATTATCGTGGCGATATATGTTGCGAGCGTGTGGCAAGTTAGGTCGAGTTTTGCGAGATAGAGGTGCTCGGATGTTCTTACATAGAGTAACCGACAACAAGCGAGATTGCATTGAATAGGATGCAGAGGGCACAAAAGAACCCTGAAGGCTCTAGAACAGTAGGAAGAGACGAGAACATAGGCAACCGAGAGCCAGGCCGAGCTGATTGGCATGGTAACCCAGAAGGCAGAAAGATGGACGGAAATCCGAATCAAAGAGAATGAACACAGCGCGAAAATCGGAAGGCATAGTAGATCGGAATATACAACAAGGGTATGAATACAGACAAATATCAAATTGGTGGCTGTTTGGAACGATGTGAAAGAGATCGAGTTAGCAGATTCCCGAAGTGAGACCCACAAGAGCACAAGAGCAATAGCGAGGATTGCGAATGGTTAAAAGAAAAGGGTGCGACTGTACTGAAACGAACGCATACACAGACTATAGCCCGAAGCCGAAAGACGACCCGAAAACTCACCCGTTCGTATGGATGGAGAGAGAAAGGACATCTTCCTCTGCAAGTCTTCTCGATTCTGGTTGGCGTGGCCGGATTTTCGAACGTGCGTGTGATTAAGTCGGCGAAGGTTGGCAGAAAGAGCTGTGACTTGAGGTCAGAGACGGACATACATCGGCGAGCTAGGGTCAAAGTCAAAGTTAGGGAGGAACATCGAGAGAAGGTCACAGTGCAACGCACTCGTCAAGAGAGATTTGTCCTTCAGTGACTCCCACTGAAACTGGAGCTGAATACCGAAGTGGTTGGCGCCGAGGCTTCCAATGGCTAGGTAGGAGTTATGTCACGGTATCGGCATTATGAATGATATAGATGGCGATGATAGGTGACCGGCAGTCTCTCATCTTCGAAAAGACAGCCTTTCATGTGTATTTTGATTCTTTACCCTACTCCTACTATAACCTTAGTACGGATTTCCCTCTAGTTGTGGAGCAGCGAGTGATTCCTTGCTGCAATCTTTCGGGTCAAAGCTTGAAACTGAGTAATGAGGATCAAGCCGCCGGACTCTGGGGCTCTCAGAAAAACTACTCACACCTGTCATGACGAGAGCCGGCTTAACTTGGCTGTTGCTGATCTGTTCCATTGTAACATTGATCTGAGTAGTCCATATGGTATCTGGGAGAGTATGAAATACAGGTCCCTGGTAGTATATCGGTTAGTACACGCGCCTGTCATGATTTGGTGCGACGTGCGAACGCGCGAAAGCTGGGTTCGACTCCCAGCCAGGGAGGTGATATCGTGCATCGAACCTGTTCTTGGGAATGATCATCAAGTTGCTTTTCCCTGTCGTTTATCTTTCCAACCATAAAGAAGTTTCGAAGCCTTTCTCCCGACGCGCTTCCAACGATAGCGAGGAACAATCGAATATTTGCAGTGGTATCCTGGCTCTGCTCCTAACTACCCGCAAGATTTTGGAAGTCTATGAACAACTCGTTCTGCCGATCGAATCTATCTTTGCTTCTTTGCAGGCTAAAGCTACCCGATTGAAGAAGGATGAGAGAATAGCAAAGAGTTGAATTTTCATTATAATGGAACTAAGTATACATAGCCACCTTGATGGGAAAAAGTGTCTCAACGTCGCGGTCGATTGATTTTTCAGAGACGCATTCGCCATTCATTGTACATAATCAGAATAAAAATACTGTCGTTCATTAACTATTCATAACGCGTTCAGCCGACACAGGTCAATGTACCGCTCTTGTCAACACAACCTAGAAATCATACATTGGTTAGCTCTACGCCGAACTCGCGGACTGTCTAGAGATCGACTCACTACCCGAGATTACTTGGGAAGAGTCCGACGGACCAGCGTAGTACTTGCAACTACTGCCAGCGTGGTGGTCTTTGTTGTTGGGTGGACCACAAGCAGAGACTGGTGGTTGAAGGGGTTTATACGAGTAAGTACGTTGCGCCTGTGAGCTCACATGGGACTCGTCGTACCTGGGTCGGTAGCGATCAAGGCAGCGCCCATAGCCTGACTGGCGAAGAGAAGGGTGAGGGCAGAGACGATGGTTGCAGTTCGGAAGAACATTATTGGTGATAAAAGTAGTATTTGGTGTTCGTTGGTTGGTTGGTTGGATTCTGGTCTTTGGAGATTTACTCGGAAGGGTTTTATAACATCCATGACTGCTCTTTGATACTATTTGGACAAGTTTAGAGAGAGTGCATCGGAAACAGCTCCAACTGACCCCAAATTGCTTTGAGGTTACTGGACGAGAAGCGGTAAGTACAGCCGTGTTCTACACATTGTTTGAGTGGACGGGATGACGGAGCGACCCTTCCTCGAATTCCTCGCCAATTGTCGAACTAATTATGGTTGTATTCTATGATTAATTCAACTCAAGTTACGAGCGCAGTCCTTTTGGAGCTTACCGAATTGAATAGCGCTATTTAACACACGCGTTACTCCAATCGCATCACCAGCGAGCAAAGAAGAATCTACCATTGACTTACGCGAACCCTAGTTTCACCTTTTGAAGGTTACGTGAAACACGGTTTGGGAATACATGAGTCCTAAGTGAGTCTGACTCTGACCGCGATTGGGCGGACAACGCTCCGAGAGAATTATCATGAGCCATGAAAGGTGATAACTAATTGGCGTAGTGGTGAGACTCTCATCAAGTTCCCGTGCTAAATCATACGATCACGGCAACGTCGGGGAGGCAATGTCCTTGCTACTTCGACAATGTTCGTGGCTATACCTTTGATTTTTCGCTCTCCGTGGGGCGTTAACGGGTAAGAACTCCAAAGTACGTATGATCATCGACGCCTCGATTGAGGTTCTGAGGTGGTGGGGCCGAAGAACCTCAGATTCGAGAAGGTTGAAGCTTCAATGTCGACATCCCGATGAAACGGTAACCTGTGTCATGTATGGTAACTCGTCATGCACTGAACAGCCCACGTCTGTGATAAATTACTACATCTTGAGCAAGTCTCGAGCGTCGCAAGAGCACCAGCTAATGTGAGATTACTATTTTCCTGCTCCTGTTGAATCCCGAGACACCCGAAAAAATAAAAATTGTCGCTCCATGGTGAATTGTTTTGGTTTTAAGCAAGTACGTAGAGGTCCTCCACAAAGCTCCGCCCTGAAGCAAGTACTTCCACAAGATCGATAAGTTCAGGTATACCTCATTAGGCCACAGTATTATTTTATTATTTTTTTGCGGACAGAACTTCGAACCTATGCTGACGGTTAATGAAATATTAAGCATGAATAGAGTACGCTGGTGAGTCTTCATCCTCGTACGTGGTGTCTAGGGTGAGAGCGCTCGTTGTGGCGCCCACAGCTTCGGGCGACCAACCAGACGCGATTTTGGAGAAATGTGATACAGGGATCATTCAAAACGCATTCCAACATCCCCGCCAGTCGAGTATCGCTCAAATGAGACACCGTTAGAGCGGCTAAATATAGATCATAGAGTCGTAGCGATAATGTATCGAGATAACTTGACTAGCAAGAAAATAAGAATCCGTCATGGTTTTACGCGGGCATACCCTAGTTTCATCCTTGAGCCCGGTTTGAGACTGGCTTTCAATCAAAATCCCGAGACTCTATTAGCGGTAAGTTCTCCAAATGTTGCCATACGTGGCGTTCTGGGATGTACTTGCTGGATATTCGCCGATGAGGCCGACATGAATTAGCATCGCCTCATATCGGACCTCGTCATGTTTCGGGACTCTTGACGATACAGGGGTCCCGAGTGACTCCACATCTCTCGTAATTCATGTGCCGTAGTAACTAGACGCACAATGACAATACAGCACTAAGGCTTCATCTTAGTGCACGATCTCACCTCGCTCCAAACGGAGTAGTTACGAATCGAAATGGCTCGCCTCTGGGCTGTTCTTGTACTAATAACATGATAAACATGCTCTGTATAGATGATGTCAATATCTGTATACCGACCACTGGCCTCTACAGAGTTGAGCTTTTAGCGTCCTATTTGGAGACGGCTGAAGTCAGTTCGAAGTGGATTTACGACGTTGATTCGTTTTCAGTGATACTTGTGGGTTATGTTGCTTAAATTGACTCACAGACCTTTACCTATGAATGTCACGAAAAAAATAGAGGGTATCAAGGGACCCATAACCCAACCACGCAACTACCCTAATGCTTTCCGGAGGATTCTGTGAAACAGAACCGGAGAGCTTACATCGAACAAGATTTGGGGAGATCACTCAAGTCAACCCGTCGAGAGCATGAGTCAACAGCCAGTATCCAAGTGATGTTTCACTGACCCTTCGAAGAATGAAACTAGGATTTGATTGCTTAAGTCAGTTGCAGACCGTTGTTTGATCAGTATCTCACGATGGTATTTGCAGTAATTTGCATCAGTAGACAGCAACTGAATCGAGTTATGTACGACTCATGATTGAATTAGTTTCTCTGATGAATTATATGAACTATTTATAAAATATGCTGGAGGCGGGGGCGCTGGTTGGCAAGGGTTTCAAAAGTGACGTTCAGTCATCCCGCCCACTCCAAGTAACGCACAGGACACGACCGTACCACCCCTCCGTATATCCCAAGGGAATTTGGAGTTAGTTGGAGCAGCCTCTGAGGTGCTATCTTCTCTTCCCGAACAAACAAATAATTCCAAAGAGGGCTCGTGAACGGTATAAAAACCTTTCCAAAGTGATTTCAAAAGACCAGAATCCAACCAACCAACCCTCCAACACCAACTACTACTTTTATCACCAACAATGTTCTTCCGAACCGCAACCATCGTCTCTGCCTTTACCCTTCTCTTCGCCGGTCAGGCTATGGGCGCTGCCTTGATTGCTACTGACCCAGGTAAGACGACTCTCTTGTGAGTTCACAGGAGTAATACTCACTCGTATAAATACATTCCTTCACTTAGTCTCTGCTTGTGGCCCGCCCAACAACAAAGACCACCACGCTGGCAGCAGCTGCAAGTACTACGCTGGACCCTCGGACTCCTCTCAAGTTATTTCGGGCAGTAAGTTGATCTTCAGGCGATCCGTGAGTTCGCTGTCAAGCTAACTAATGTGTGGCTTCTAGGTTGTGTTGACAAGAGCGGTACATTAACCTGTGTCGGCTGATGCATTGTTTGAACGGCACGCACAATCTAAGGTGGTCAAAGGAGTGTAGAATAGAAGTCAAATATAATATGATCTTGCGTTCATAATTTTGTATACAATTTGAGTGTTTGTTCGGATGAGGCCCATCCAGCCAAGTTTGACTGACTTGTGAACGTGCATAGAGCGAACATGAATGTTCAATTGCATTGTATCATGATCTGTACCTCATCCGGACTTCCGAGTCATCCTCCCCCTCCTCGTTAGTCGATGTAATATGTCAGTGTGTTCGGGTCTGTAGTTAGATCATCTCCTTTCCAAGCTGATTCTGTGTTTCTCCTTTGCGAGTCGACCGTCACCGAGGTCATGGTCGTTCTTCCAGCCACCATGATAGCCTCGATAGTCTTACTCCTCAACCTTGTCCCAGTGGAAATTGGTCCTATCGCGACCTTGATGTCGGTAGTTGCCTTGATAATGTGGTTGAAGTTATCGGGGTTTGGCACCCACGTTGATCATTGTGCGGGGAAAGTGCATCGACAGCATTCAGCAAATGAGCTCAGTTTATGTTTCCGAGCAGACATTACAGCCGAAGCCCAGCTCAGAGACAGGTATCGCTCGAGTGCTTGCGGATGTTGGCTTCAATCATCTCAAGGACAAACTAGAATGTCACCGATGCTTAGAGCAAGCAAAATCCGGGACAAAAGTCGACGAAAGGCAGATGGTTTGGCTTGCTAGTATTGCCAGTGAGCCCTCGATGTTATGTGTCTACCACCCGAAGCTTCATCCTCTTGATGCCTTTATCCTTCCATATTGTTTTCCTTCCTCTTGTCATCTCCCGGTCTCGACCGATGGCAGTTCTTCGCCTTGATATATAGTGTCTATTTACATTAAGTTACTCTCAGTGTGCTCATAAGAGAAGCAGGAACTGCGAATAGTGATTTGGACCGAGTGTTTACAGAACGCAAGAAAGAAGAGTGGATAATGGAGGTTGTGGTCAGATCGCGTTGGGCTTGGCGTTCCGCTTGGTGATGCCGGCCCGGGCAGATTACAAGTACACCTCAGTATCTTCGGGGCCGATTATCGTGCAGCTTGACCACGATGACCACGACACGAAGTTTCCCAAAGTTTTGATAGCCTTGAATCATGGCTAGGTATACTGGCATCTTGGTTTCCTCTCCTCCATAGTTTGTG